AACCTTAAATTTCTGTATAAACGTGAGCTATTATTATTACGCTTATTACTATGTGCTAGGCACTGGCTAGGCACTACAGTTACAAAGAGAAAAAAGAAAGAGTTCCTGCCCTCAGGGAGGTTATATTTTAGTGGGCGGGGTGGGGAGGAAAGTCTCTTCTGGGAGGTGACGTGGGCGCTGAGCCTTGAAAGGTCTTGAGAGTTCCAAAGGGGTACAAAAGAGGAGGGAGACCTTCCAGTGCAAAGATAAGGAGGTGAGAGATGTATTGTGTGTAACTACCGTCCTGTAGATCCGGCAAGAAAATAGGATATATTCTGAATAATCTTGTCGTGTGCTGTGGAGTAGAGATTGAGAAAGTCACACGGCTGTGACTACTGGACCCACTACAAACTCTTGTTATCTTATCTCAACACAGCCTCCGACAGTAGCAAGACACAGTTTTTGTTCTTCCCTAATTGACTCAATTTCACTTCCCTCACAGTCTGTTCCAAACCTCTTCTGTCCTCAAGCTGTTGATAGCCCCATTGTCAGGTGCTCTCAGCTGACAACCTCACCCTTCTCAGAGAAAATTAAGGCCAATTGCTGTGACATCCCTTCTGTCCCTTTTTACATCATTCTTTTCCATCATTCCCCACCAACCCCTCCTTTTCTCCAGTCTTTGAGGAAGAAATAGACCTTCCCCTCACCGAAGTCATTCACCCTTGACCCATTCTCTTTCGTCCTTTTCCTCTAGTGTTCAGCCTATTCACGCTGGTTTCTTCCTTACTAACTACAAACATGCTTGAATTTTCCTTATTCTTAAAAAAAATCACAAACTATGATTCTACAGTTTTCTTCACTTACTCAGCCAAATTTCTAGAAAAATCTGGATATATTTATTGCCTCTACTTCTCTTGCTTTCTTCTCAACCTTTTGCTATCTTGCTTCTGATGTCATCACTCAATTAAACTTCTATACAAAGTTATCAATTTTTTTAAATGAATTTTTATTGATATATCAGTGGTGGAACATAATCTTAAACAGAGCTCGCTCTTTCTTTCCTTCCTTCCTTCTTTTTTTCTTTCCTTCCTTCTTTCTTTCTTTCTTTCTTTCTTTCTTTCTTTCTTTCTTTCTTTCTTTCTTTCTTTCTTTCTTTCTTTCTTTCTTTCTTTCTTTCTTTCTTTCTTTCTTTCTTTCTTTCTTTTATATGAGGCAATTGGGATTAAATGACTTGCCCAGAGTCACACAGCTAGTGAGTGTTATGTGTCTGAGGTCAGACTTGAACTCAGGTCCTCCTGATTCCAGGGCCAACACTCTATCCACTGTGCCACCTAGCTGCCCCAACAGAGTTCTTTAATGACTCTTATTTACTCTTTTCATCCTACTTAGCTTCCAGGCATAAATAGTCCTTCTTTGTTGTGGGAAGTTGTATCAAAGGATATCTATTTGTCTATCTATCTATCTATCTATCTATCTATCTATCTATCTATCTATCTGTCTGTCTGTCTGTCTGTCTGTCTGTCTGTCTGTCTGTCTGTCTGTCTATCCGTCTCTCTCTCTCTCTATCTACCTATTCTTTGATACAGCTTCCCAGAACAGAAGCATGTGTATACACACACACACACACACACACACACACACACACACACACACACACACACATATTTGTTATAGCTCCAAGCCCCCAGTTAGACAAAATGCCTTGGCAAGACACCTCAGTGTTAGGCCTATTGTATATCTCTCTTCTCTGCGGTTGCTCCTTCCTCAAATTGCCTTCTCTTTCTTATTCTAAGTACATCCAGAATTGCAATACCTCATAATTAAACTTTATAAAGGAAGACGAAGTAAACATGAAAACAAGGAAAGGCATAACAGATTTTTCCTGGTCAAGAGTAAAAGTTTTTGGTTTCCATGAGGGAGCCCAAGGAGAAAGGATTATCATCTTGGCTCTACTGAAGGGGGAGGTAAGTTTCAGCAACATTTGGTTCTGACATTCCTTGTTCTAGATCTGCCCTGATTGCTTTCAGAGTCCTGACCTTTTTCTTTGTGCTAGATGCTACTACCCTAGTGCCCTTTCTCTTAGCGTCATGCAGCTTCTCACAGCATCCTCTTCTCCAGTAATATGTCTTTCATACATATTTTCAGAAACTAGCTTCCTCTTCTGTACAGTTTCCTGGACACTGTGAACTGGCTAAAGGTCACTGTTGGTATTAACTTTTCTCTTGTCAAATGAGCCTTTTTACACTTAGTAATCCTGTCAGTAGCCTTGTAGAATGTAACCAACTCCTTTGATGTGAGACAGACTTTGAAAAAGCATTTCACTTTTTTTTTTGCAGAAAAATTATCTTGGCTTGAGAGTGCATTCTGCATGTATATTTAAGATGTTGCTTTAGTTTATTAGGTTTCTTGCTATCTGCAGCTAAAGCCTTCGTGTAAGGAAGAAGGGAATAAACACTTATGTGGCATCTAGTATGTGCCAGGCACTGTGCCAAGAACTTTACAAACATTATCTCATTTGATCTTCATCAATTCTGTGAGATGGGTGCTATTGTCATCCTCGTTTTACAGTTGAGGAAACTGAGACAAATTGGGTTAAGTGACTGGGCTGGGGCCACACAGCTGCTAAGTTTCTGAGGCTGGAATTGAATTCAGGTCTTTCTGACTCCAGGCCCAGAACTCTATCCACTGTACCATCTAGCTTTCTTAAAGCAAAGAGACATATTTCCACACTATCAATAACTTGTGAATCTCAATAATAAATATAGTAAACTGTACTTTCTGGCTATGAGCTTTTTATTTTGTATTTCTTGCCTCCCTTATTAGAATGTAAATTCCTTTAGAGTAGGGATTATTTAATTCCTTGTATTTTATTCCCAGGTTTTATTGTTTGGCACACAGTAGGGCACTTGATAAATGTAATTTTCTCACTGCTTGAAGGTGGTTCTCCTTAGCAGGACCAAAGAGTCCTAGCTGGCAATCTGGTCAATGTACTGCCTGAAATAATGATTCTGATACACAGCTTGGTTTAGAATGAAGGAGATAGCTCAGCAAGTGACAGATACTGCTAGATCAAAAGTGAATTTTCTTGAGAAGAGTATACCAATAAGAACATTAATGATTAAGAATGATTAAGAAACCTTGTTCTCAGGTTGGTTGCATTATTTAGCAGTAGAGGTGGGAGATGAGATTCAAGAGACCAAAAAGATAATGGAATCCCTTCTTCCCAGTAACATGGAAATGGAATTGCTGTAAAAGTCAGAGGAGATATCTGAGTTCCATGGAGACTCTAGCTCTTCTGCAGCTTTGCTTGTCTTATATCTAGATGTAGAAATCTTAGCATCATAGATGTTACAGGTGTAACACTACCTTTGGAGTCCCACTGACAACTTTCATTTGTATTTACAAGTTGAGTCCTCAGAGAAGTGGCTGCTACTTAATATTTTCAGGGTTCTAGGAGTAACCCTGAAGAGTTATATTTTTAGTACCGTTGCTCCTGGGCCCCCATCAGTATGATCTCCGTTAACAATTTGTCTGCCAGACTAAATTAGTCTTTAGAAAGGATACTTTCTAAGGTGATATAGTAAGAACAGTTTGTACAAAACATTATCCTCAAATCCTACGTTTCTCTCTCCAACAAAATATACTATGTCCATAGGTAGAGTGGGCTTAAACTTAGAGTATGACAGTAACAAGGAACATATGTGGAAAACATGTCTGGCAAAGAAGCAGCTTACATCTCCTATTCTGGAAATACTTTTCTCCCTTTGTAGAATCCTCATAAAGTTTCCTTTAGGTACATCTCTCTCCTGGACTTTGAGGATCAGTGCTTTTCTAGAGTGATAATCACTTACCTCTACCATGAGTGGCCACATTTTTGGAAACCACCTTTCCTTAGGTGGCTATTATTCTTTGTATTTTTGTCTTCAGTGTATCTCTCTATCCTTGACAGAGGAGTTTATTGCTGCCAGACATTATTGCTCCCATGGATACTGCTACAGTTTCTATTCAATTCTGACTGGTGGCAGGACTTCTGGATCTGTACTCACAAGGTCACCTGGATGCATTCTCTCAAATACTCATTCACCTAAGATAAAGAAAAAACAATCACAAAGAGACAGAGATGACCATGGACTCATGGCTTCCATGGCCAAGTGGTAGATAGGACAGCTGCCCTTCTCCCCATCTGGGTCTTGGAAGCAATTAAAAGAATGCCTGCCTCATGGCAGCTGCAAGGGAAAGAGGGCAAACTAGGAGTGAGTGGTTCCCTTTTGTATCCCAGAGTCCTGGCTCAGCAATCCCTGAGTCATTAGTTGTCTTGACATCAGCAGCTAATTAGATAACTCTTTGTCATCCCACAGTGCAAACTCCTGCCTTGTCATGTCCAGAAGATAGCTCTCTCTAGGCTTCCACGGGATGACTTAGACTGGAACCAGGCAGGGAATATTTGGTTATGTTCCAAGAATTGGCCCCTGCAGGCTGGCCCTCTCCAATCACACAGGGATTAGAGACATTGGTGTAAGATGCCTTTTCGATGTTGCTTAGAGAAAAGTAACCCATCTTCATCCTGCGGGAAACTTTATAGAATCCTGCCTCTAGGAGAGAAAGTGCTGGAGATGCAGAGATCCCTTCACTCTAGAACTCTGCCCTGCAGCATCTGGGGGCCAGCCCTGTTGCCTCTCCCTTTTCGTCTTGGGGCATCATCTTGAATTTGGGACAGGGGTAGGGGTTGGAACCAGAATGGTATTTTGTGTTCCTGGGGAAACAGAGTCCTTGTAAATCTTCCCTTGTCTGTGAGTCCCTGTGGGGCTGGAGGGATTTGGAGGTGGGTTCCAAGTTAGTCATTTTTACCAGGATTTGACATCAGCTGATGAGTGTTAATCTCAGTTTAATCTATAGACTCTTGTATAGTGGGCTCAAAAGTACTCCCTTCCCACTTTCCCCATGCCTTATAGCAGGGAAGATACATTACCCTTTCACTTTCCCTCACACTTCAGAATGAAGACAATGAATAGACAGACAAATCCACATTGAATCAAAGTTTATTGTGGAAACAGTGAGATTAATAGGTCATGCTTCCCTTTTCATAAATATTCACCTTTCAAGAACACATGCTTACATTTATAGGTCCTCTGAGTAGACCATAACAATATAAATTAATTCAGTTTTACAGACATCAAAAGCTTTACCCTGTTCCTGACATTGGCTCATCTTGGCCTTTTCCTTCAGAGAATTAAATAGACATGAGCATCCTTAAACAGACCACATAATTAATAAATAAATAAATAAACAGACAAACAAACAGTTGCTAAAGACCTGAGAGGGCAGTGTTGGAGTTTGGAAATAACCCAGGCTTGGGGAGATAGTTATGGATGATTCAGGAGAGGCCCCATCATGGCAGAGGCTAGTTGCTTTTGAATCTGGGAAATAACAGGGCAGCTTTTGAGCATACTCCCAGCTGACAGGGCTCAATCATAGCCTAACCCATTTAGAATCAGCAATGCAGGAGAACCTTGAGTTCATGATTGCACAGCACTTCCTATTTTGTGCCCTTACTAAATTTACAGGCCAGAGGTCTCTTTTGCCCTCCTATTCCATGGGCATCTTTTCTTTCTTCAAATCCCCCCTCCTAATGCTCCCTGCCTGGCAACATTCCAGTGCTCAAACCTCCATCTTGAATACCAAACTATCACCATGATTTTCCCAGATTCTGCTCAACCAGGCATTGAAATGGGCCATGGGGGCTTTCCCTGAGCAAAGTCAGCATCTGAATGGTAGCAATACAAATTTCCAAAGAATATATTAAGGCCTAAGTTGAATACATGTCATATGTATAACATATGAATTCCCAAATTCCTTTTCTTCTCCCCTCTGCCTAGGTCCTAGAGTACACACTATACCCAGACTTGCTGCTTAAGAGAGATCATCCAAAATGAAGTCAGTTATGTCCTTGCCCCCTCTAATGTTCCCCAGGAAGACAGGCTGATCATCCAGTTGGGAGGTGCTGATGTACCAGTTGGGGTATTCTGCAGACTCAAATTCAGTGGTATTATTGATTTCTATCTTGTTGAAGATGAATCGCTTTTCCACATTAGTGCTGGGGAAATTGGTGATTTGCTGCAAATGATTAAGACAGATTCCCCCATGAGAAAAGGAACAAAGGAACTTCAAAGACGTATTTTTGAAGAGCAAAAGGGGTAGAGTGCTGAAATAGAATTCAAATCCTCTTTTTGACACTTACTACCTATGTAAACTTGGGCAGGCTACTTATCTTCATTGGACCTCAGATTTCTTCTCTGTAAAATGAAGGCTTTGGACTAGATGACCTCTAAGGTCTCTTCTAGCTCCCAAACTATGACTTCCTCTCTGGTACTTGAATAGGAGCTGGCTGAGAAGGTCCTTAGGTTGGCCAGAGAAGAAATTGATGTCACAATAGGATAAGAGTAAAAAGGCAGGGGCTAGCAGTCATAATTCCTGAGTTCTGTTTATAGGTTTGTATTTTGGGGCGATTGGAAGGAGAACGTCATTCTTCTTTGTGGCTAAGTACCAGATATCTAGGGACATGCTACTTTGAGCTTTGTACGAAGTAGAAGCTTAATAAATGTTTATTCAAGCAAGGATTAAATAAGAGACTGGAAGATACATGAAAGAACCAATATTATTTTCTCATTTGGAATCACGAGCTAAGGAAATTTACGCAAATGAATCAAATCCAGGTACTTCATCAATTTACTGGAGGTGGGGGTGGGGGTGGGAATCTGACTATCTCAAACTACCTGACTGTGGGAAACAATTGAATTTTTTTATAAGAGAGAAAGTGATCTTTATTTCTAGTATGCTCACCTCCAGCTGCAGAATGGGCTTCTCACCACGCCTCACACAAGACAGATAGAGATTATTTTTCTTGATACACAGGACAACATATGTCTTCTGGGAGCCTATCTCACCAAGTAAGTACTTCATGCTGAAAATTACTGGAAAAGAAAAAAAAAAAGGAACAGTGTAGTGAATGGAAATCCCAGAGCAGGTGGTCTTAACCTTGCTTGTATCATGGACTTGCTGAGTAGTTTGGTGAGTCTAAGGATCCCTTCTCAGAATAATATTCTTAAATGTATGAAATAAAATGCATGAGATTACAAAGGAAACTAGTTCTAGTGAAATCTGGTTATTAACTTATTTTTTTAAAAAGGTAAGGGATTCCAGGTTAAGAACCTCTTTCTAGAGAAGTTGTTGGGCAAGGTGACCAACCCAGGAAGACCATATTTGTGAAAGTGAGGCAATAAGTGGGTATGGACATGTGAGGAGTCAAATTGAGAAATGAAGGGAGGGGTGGTTAAATTGAGCATAAATGTCATGTTACTGAGCTCACATTTTTGAGCCTCCTGAGTCAAAGATGTCATAATCAGAAGCTCTGAGATCACTTTTGCTCCTTAGTGGGAAGTACGCCAGGCTTTCCTATTTTTCAAATGAAAGTACAAAGTAGGTAGCTTCTTTGCTCAAATGACTGTCTTTCAAGGAAGTGGAAGCTCAGAGGAGAAGCAGGTCACTCACTCCTCTCCCTGACTCCCTCTGACAACACACCTGCTTCTATCCTTGACTTTTACTTGCTGAGGAGCAGGGTAGAGTGGATATTGCTAGCACTTATTTAGCGTCCACGATGGGGAACAACTTTTTAGAATAAAAGTTCAGTCCATTGTTGTAGGTTTTCTTGATAGGATCCCTTAAAGTCACATTTTCCTTTTTTTCTTTTATTCCAGTTTGGTACAATTGAGCTAGATACTATTAGGAATTTTAGGGCTAGTTCATAACAAAGAGAGCTAGTAATGTAAAGCCCAAGTTTGAAACCTTCTTTAGCTTTGCCTACTTTCAATCTTAAAACTAGTTTCCTTTGGAAATTTAGATCTTTGGGACAAAAACTTAATTTCTCTAGATTGAAAGATCCAAGAGAAATCTGAAATGGTTTTACTAACAACTAATGCTCTCATCACTCAGATTGAATCAAATGAAATAAAGAAGTAGCCAGTAAGGTCCCAAACTGACTGTCCTTTGAACCAGTCTTAATTCAGCCAACCCTTCTTTGTGGGACCTGGCACAGTGTCTTGCACCACTGGATGAAAGTGGAATAGATGCTTGGGCAGAGGCAATGAGCATTAATCTAAGTTGGAGACCAACTATAAAGACTGAGAGTTATGGACATCAAGAAGGAAAGACCAAGTGTCAGACGTTACCTTGTTGGCTTATGTTGCGACCATTGAGATGGAGAGCTTGCAGTTCACTGGTCTTGGACAAGGCTAGGCATTTTTGATTTATGTCCTGAATGGTGCAGTCTTGGGAGGATATAAACTGAAAGGTGGAGTCAGACTCATAAATGTCACAGCTCTTGACGGTGACAGGTTCTGAAAAGTAGAAAGTGTATATTATTCAGAAGCATTGAATCAGAGGTGGCAATCTGCCAAGATTGTCCCTTGAGGTCATGAAGAACCACCTAGGCTCACTTCCTAGGACCTTTTTGTGAAGTATAGCTTGACCTCGAGACTCTGCTTTTGGCTCAATCCACTTTTTTTTTTTTGTGCTCCTTTTCTTGAACTACCCTTCTTAGGAGAGTTTGGGTTTGAGTTTGGCAGGTTAGAAAAAGTGTTGAATCTGGCGTCAGGAGAAACCAGCAATCAAATTCTACCAGCAATCAAATCCTACCTCCAATACTTATTAGCTATGTGACTGGGGGTCACTTAAATTACCTAAGCTCATTATATCTCAGTTTTCATCTACAAAAGGGGGCTAATAATAGCACTTAAGTCCCAGGGTTGTTGTGAAGATCAAATGAGATATTACTTGCAAAATGCTTTGCAAATCTTAAAACATTGTGGAAACACTAGTCATTTCATTATCATCATTATAATGTCTGTGAAATACTTTCTAAACCCCAAAGCATGATATGAAAGTTTGCCAAAAACACTAGGAAAAAGAGAAATATGTAGATTAAGTGTTGGGGAGGAGTTGGGAATAGGAAAGACCCAGCCTCTGTCTCTCAGTTCTCTTACCTTCTTGAAAGATGCTTGTGAAAATATTCAAGTCATTATCCTGGAACAGCTGGGAGCAGAATCCATTCAGATGCCTCATCTTCTCAATTGCAACAACTACCATCACAGTTTGATGGAATTGATGGGGCAGAGAGGTAAATTTCAGCTGGATGACATCCTCCTCCAGAGGACTTTCTTTGGAACAAAGATCAGGATACTGGAAGTAACCCTGCAAGCAAACAGTGGCATTGGTGGTTTAGGGTTGTTGAGCTCTTGTTTGTTTTTTCTCTTAGCAGTCACCCACTCCAGAGATTTAATTGAGTTGGGAAGAGATTCTACTCATCACTTAAATTGGTAGACTGTTAAAGAGTTTACAAGTCCTCTAGACCAAGACCCTCTTACTTCACAGATGAAAAAAGTGAGACCCAGAGAGATAACTTGATTTGGTGAAGGTCTCATAGCTTGGTACAGCCAGAATTAGAATCCAAATCTATTCTTTTTTTTTGCTGCTCCTTTTTTCCAGTCCCAGGTTTCCATTTCCAATGTCATCATTGTTAGCACATTAGCATGTGTCTGGTTATACAAGGTCTGCTAGGACCTAGTCTGCTGCCCCATAATGATAAATATATTTTCTAGGAAAATAGAGATAATTCAGAAATGAGTACATGGCTTGTACTCATCACCTCTGAACTTTTATGGTCCCATTTATGACATACAATTATAAACTAGAGTAGGACTGGACCTCAGAAGCCACCCAGACTATTCCATTCTTTCCCCTCTATTTTGTAGGTAAGAAAACAACTTGAGAGAGGTTAAGTGACTGATTTTGGTCACAGACATGGGATTCAAACCCAGGTACTGTGATTCCACAGTACCATGTTAACTCTCATGAGGAGATGAAAAAGCACACAGCTCAAAGGCTTGCCCTGTGAGTTCAGAGTAGTAGAGTCTGTGCTTTCACCATGTCAAAGTCCTCCCCTCCCCACATCCTTATACTCCTTGACCCAGAACTTGGACCATAAAAGAAGCTACACAAGAACCTTACCTTCTTTTGGTTGGGACCATCAGCCTCATAAAATTGGCTCTCATCATTGTCCCTGTAAACGAAATCGAAGAAGCTGTTAAGTTACTTTTCTTAATTGGGAGTCTTTCTTCTTGTGCAAAAGCCTCTACTATTAATAGAGAACTTATGATCAAGTCCCTGAGGTCTTTCTGACAAGTTCCGTTAGGACAGGCACAACATGCTCTAAAGAGTGACCAATCTGTGAGCCCGTTTGAGATTTAAAGGAGTGGTCAGTGGGTACTGGACCCCAACCAGGCTGTGGGAGGGTCCTCTGTTACTGACGTAGGGACTGGGAAATGTAGATCAGGGAGGGGGAGATCTAGTGATTAAGTCTTACACCAGACTCAAGGATACTAAGGAATAGTCAGTGGGATAAAGTATAAGTCCAGACTACTAAATTAGTCTTCGCAAAGGAGTCCCCCTACAATTCAATGCCTGACTCCCCACTTCTTCCTTTTATTCCCTTGCTCACTTAATCCCACTATCCCAATCCATTTTCCCCAGCCTTTCCCCTGAGCTCTGTAGTAGATGTACTGATGCTTAATTGACAATGCCCATGGATATAACTGGTTATGGTAACAGGCAAAAAGAAGCAGAGGGTCACTGAGTTAGAATTTTAGAGCTGGAAGGGACCATAAAGATCACCTCATGCAATTCTCTTACTTTACAGATGAAGAAACTGAGGCAATATTAATGTTTGATTGCCTTTTGCTGTGTGAAGATGTAAGTTTTTTTTAAAGGACCTATGTAACTTTCTCAATCTTTGGTCCTGGTCTGCTTTCCTGGCATAGGATGATCCTTCAGCTGACCACCACTTGTCATTCAGCTCACTTACCTGTAAAAATCCACCTCCTCACAAGTGATTTCAGGTACCATTGCCATGATAACTTTGTATTCCTGGACAAAGGAAATAGAGGGAGTCACTAGCTGTAGGTGACTGAGCAAATATCACTCCCTATGAAGTTGTTTCTCCCTAAATGATTGGAAGCTCCTTGAGGGTAGAGACCATATCTTACTCATTTTTACAGCCTCAGAACCCTTCCCTAGTATCTTGGCATGCACATCTATTGAATGATTAAGCGAATCAAAGAATTTCAGAATTGGAAAAGAACTTAGCATCCATCTAGTCCGAAGGATATTAACTAAGTCCATAGACCCTAACAAGTTCATGGATTGGTTTTGGGGGTCAAGAGGATGGGGCTTTGTGGTCTTTTATGGGAAAATACTACATCTTTATTTTCACTAACCTTTCATTTCCTTTGTAAACTTATGCATTCCATTTTATACATTTAGAAACCTTAGTCTGAGAAGGAATCCATAGACTTTAACAGACTATTGCCCAAGATGTCCATGACACAAAAAAGATGAAGGGCCCCTCATCAAGTCCAACCCATAACCAAAAAGGAACCCCCATCGCAGCATGCCCAAGAACTGATCATCCTGTGTTTGCTTGAAGAATCTAATGAGGGGAACCCACTATCCTGAGTGGCAGCTCAATCCTTTTACTGACAGCTCCAATTGTCAGGAAGCTGGTTCCTGTCATCAAGCTGAAACTTATTTCATTTCAAATTCTAACCATTGCTTCTGGCTCTGTTAACTGGAGCCAAGCAAATCAAGTTGAATCTCTTATTTATGTGACAGCCCTTCAAATTCCTGAAGGTCACTATCATGTCTTCCCTCTAAGTTCATTTCCCCAGGCTAAAAACTCTAATTCCTTCAACCAAATGCATCATCCTATTACAATCTTAGTGATGGTGGCAGCATGAAATAAAACATACGATGTCCTCCGTCCTCTTTCCGGTAAGTTATGTTAGGTCGAATACTTCACAGTCAAAAAAGCAGCTCCTGTCCAATTGGGACAGCCAAGAGGAGATGCCAGGTGGGTTCTTCTCTAAATGGACACTATCATATAGCTCAAAGGCTCAATCAGGAACAGTGGAAAGGGTACAGATTCTGGAGTTAGAGGGCTTAGATTTAAATAATTGATTTCTACCACCGGTGTGACATAGGGCAACTTACTTTTCCTCCCTAGTACTCGCTCTCCTCACTTGTGAAGTGAGGACAAAGTGGTTTTTGAGGTCTTTTCTGAGATCTGTATCTATGACCCTATCTATGATGCCTCATTCAGGAGCATTGCCCCAATTGAACCACATGCACATCAAGTAATCAAATGAGACCAAAAGAGCATTGGTTCCAAAAATAGAACAAAACAAAAATGAAGCAAAACCAAAAATTCAACAAAGTGTCAAGAGTTATTGGATAGAAAATTACTTTTCACACATTACAATTATATTTAATTATAGAACCTATTACCCCAACTCCTGGATGCCCCTCCCCTCCCAAACCATAATAGACAGAGAGGATCTCCCAGGCAGTAATCATTGGGAAGAATTCAGAGAAATGATACCTTTGCTGGTAGGAGTGATAGGAGCCTTCCGTCAGTTTCAGCTGTCAAGCGGAGAAATGATCTCTCTGCTGCCATCTGGACCACTTTATTCACTGTCAAAAGCAGAAGTAGGGTACAATGAAATTTCCCTTTTGGTCAGCTAATTGCACAATTTTGTAAAACTAAAAAAAGGGAATAGTGGGAACTTTGGGGGGCAACTTGAAATGACACCTCAGATTTTCAGGGAAAGAAGAAACAATTTGGATTCTGTAATGATGTAACCCTTTCCAAATATGATGACAAATATTGTAGTATTTCTAATAGCAATCCTGTTCTTGATTACAATGTCAATGAAGGACTGGATTTCATTAGGTTTGCAGACTGTAGTTTTGGATTTGTAGGGTCTCAGGGAAAAAAAGTATGAATAAAATAATCCTTTCTTTTTCAAAACTTCCTTTTTTATTATGAGCATCATCTTCAACAAACATAAACATTTCAATATGTAAAGGATAAGGAGATTTATATAAGAAACCATAAACTTAAAAATGGATATTAAATAATTTAGTAAAATAAATTGTATCCCTTCTGAACTTCTTTCTGTTTATAACTGTGTATTTTTTTAAAAAAAGTTTTATTTATGCTCATTTCTTTCTTTAAACTTTATGTATTATTACCTACTAGCCCACCTCCCCATCCTCTCTTATAACAAATGGAATGCCCCCTCCAGACTCACTCCTCCAACTTGTACTACCACTGGTAGGTTGGAGTGTCAAGAGAGTAGATGCTACTTAATTCATTCAGGATTCTGGAATAACCCAGAGGTGCTACTACTCATGAAGCCCTATTCAGTTCACTCCTCAATATCATTCAACCAGTTGATGTTAATTAGTTTTTCTAAAAGGGATATTTATTGAGAAGGTACAGCAAGGAACAGCAGTTACAAAATAATACCCCCTCCTTCACCCCTCCCCCTTCCTGCCAGTGATACCTTTTCCTTTTGCACGTACAAAATTTCTGGAAAAAATGTGCTCAAACCTAGGCAGCACATATGGCAAAAGGACAAAGACATCTTTTGGTTGCAGGAAGTCCTTTTTCTACTTTTGCAGAGTTCTCATAACATTTCCCTTAAGTATAACTCTCTGCTGGCCTCCAAAGTCTAGTATCCCTGCAGAACCTGAAGCTAGGACTGGTTTGCTTTCTGTGTCTTCCTTATACAGGTACTGCTTGGGGACTCTGCTACCAGTTGTGGTACACTCAGCTACTCACGCTGATGGGAACTCCAGATTTTCTGACCCTTTGAAGTTCACAGAGTTGTCACCTGCTCAATGATGGGGGTGGGGATAAGTCTGCATTTATTCCCCCACCCTGCTAGCTGCCTTTTCCTCTAGGCTTAAGTTCTATCTCTTCGAGGTGCTCCTGGTCTAGAAAATACTGGTGCTTCACTGATGATAGACCAATCAGACTCCCAGACTGCCATGTTGTTTTATCCACAGTCCCACATAGTGTGACTGATTTGCTTAAACCAATCACAAAACACTTCCTACATGGCATCATTTGAGAAATCTGGACCTACCATGTTTATATTAATCCCAATCCTTACATAAATCAGTAGAGTCAAGCAAAATGAATAAACAAATTGGTAATTTTGAGATTTTATGTCTTTTTCTGCATGTCAAGTCTATAACTTTTATGCCAAGAGCCAAGAGATATGCTTCTTTTTCAGTCTTCTCAAGTCATTACTATTTGGATGAGAGCCCTGAGATCTTTGAAAATTGGTTTTCCTTGACATTAATATGACCATCAGGTAAACAGTTCTCATGTTTCCACTCATTTCACTCTCTAGGAGTTCATACAAGTGTCTTCGAGTTTCCCTGAATCTATCATAAGAACCATCATTGCTTATGGTACAAGGATATTCCAATCATTCATATGTCTCACTTTGTTCAACCATTGATCAATTGGTGAGTGTCTATTTTGCTTCCCTCTCTTTGCTGCTGTGTATTTTTGTACATATCAGTCCCTTCCCTTTGTCTTTCACCTCTTTAGAGCATTTGCCTAGTAGAGGAGTCACTGGGTCACAGGGTATATCATAGGTTGGTAGCCTTTTGGCATGGTTCTAAATTGTTTGCCAGAATGATTGGATCCAGCCATAGCTTCATCAGCAGAATGTTAGTATCTCTCCATCCATAGACAGCTCTTACATATTATCATCAGTTTTCTTTATATTTGAGATATCAGATCTTTATCAAAGAAATGAGCTGTGAACCTTCTTTCCTAATTAATTGTTTCCCTTCTAATTCAAATTGCACCAATTTTCCATGTGCAAGAACTTCTCAATTTTGTCATTAAAAATGTCCATTGAAATTCCTGTGGTCGCCTCTATCTCTTGCTTAGTCAAAGATTCTCCCCTTGTCATATTTGTGAAAGGTAAACACTACTTTCTCATTAGTGGCATCACTACATCCAATTCAATTTAGCAGGCATTTTTAAGTGTCTTCTGAGTGCACACTTTTCTTGTCACATAATAGGTGCTTAGTAAGTGTTTGCTTTCTCTGTAGAGACATAATAATCTCAGGAGTAAGAAAGCCCTAATTATCAGCTGGATCTATGGAGGCTTCCCAAGGCCAGAGGCACATCAACTGAATCTTGAATGAATGTATGGACACTAAGAAGTAGAGGTAAGCAGGGAGGGTCTTGACTTGGGGAAAATCACCTGGGTAAAGGCACAGAGATAGGAGGTAGAATGTTGTGTCCAGAGAATAACTAGGAGGCCAGTTTGACTATCATAGAGTTCATGAAGGGGAGTAGTAAGAGAGATAGATGGAAGGTAGTGTGGGAAGGGCATTCAATGTTCTTCATCAGAAGAATGGCATAGGTGGACCTGGGATTTAGGATAATTGTTTTAGAAGCCGTATGGAGGGGGCAGCTGGGTGGTGCAGTGGATAGAGCACTGGCCCTGAAGTCAGGAGGACTTGAGTTCAAATCCAGCCTCAGAACAAACACTTGACACTTACTAGCTGTGTGACCCTGGGCAAGTCACTTAACTCCAATTGCCTAAAAAAAAAAAAGAAGAAGAAGCTGTATGGAGGACTATTGGAGAAGGAAGAGCGCAATTAAGTAGGAGATTATTGGAATAGTCCATGGTGGAGGTGTTGAGTGGTCTCTGATTGTTGAGCCAGTGATAGCTGAAATGTCATGGAAACAGATGAGGTAGCATTAGATCAGAGAAGGATAAATGTCCTTATTTTCAAAGAAAGGGAAGAGAATAGAGTTTGCCAACTATGGAGCAGTGAATTTGACTTGATTTCCTGGGATTATTAAAGGGACGGTTGGTAAGCACTTAGAGAAAAAGGGATTATGAAGAGCCAGCCTGGTTCCATAAAGAACAGGTCATGCCAGACTAACTCCAATTCCTTCTCTGAGAAGGTTACTAAGCTGGCTGATGAGGGGAATGCTATGGATGTAGTTTACATAGATTTTTAACTAAGCTGTTGATAAAATACATTACTCTTGTGGAAAAGATGGAGACACATGGATTAGCTGATAATAAGTCAGTCAATAAGCATTTATTAAGCGCCTAGTATGTGTCAGTCACTATGCCTAAGAGCTAAAAGCAAAAAAAAAAATCCCTGCTCTCAAGGATCTCACAGTCTAAGAGGGGAGATAACATGAGAACAATTACATACCAATAAGATCTAGACAGTCAGACAGATCCATAAGTAGTTTAATGACCAGATCCAAATAGTAGTTTTTAATAGTTCAATGTCAACATAACAGGAGATTTCCAGTGGAGTAGCTCAGAGATTTGTACTTAAAGAAATACAGAGTCCTGTGTTATTTAACATTTTAATCAGTGAGTTGGATAAAGGAGATATATATGTACAATATATGTACATATACACATATTATGTATATAATCAATAATATAATGCATATAAAATTATATTATATATAATAAAACATACAATATTATGCATACAATACATAATACATATTTTATAATATAGACATTGTATATAATGTATGTATATGTAGTGTGTATATTTATATCTGTATCTATATCAGCTAAGTGGCACAGTGGATAGAGTGCTGGGCCTGAAGTCAGGAAGACTCATCTTCATGAGTTCAAATCTGACTTCAGACACTTACTAGCTATGTTACCCTGGGCAATAAGTGCCATATACTAAGCACTTATTACATTGCTTGTTAATTGATTGATGATTGATTGATTAGTCAAAAAGATAGTCTGATTTCCTACACCATAGGTCTCTGAGATATGTCTATTTCTTCTCTTTGTTTTTTGTTTGATTTTAGGCAATTGGAGTTAAGTGACTTGCCCAGGGTCACACAGCTAGTAAGTGTCAAGTGTTTGGTCTGATGCCAGATTTGAACTAAGGTCCTCCTGACTTCAGGGCGCATGCTCTATCCACTGCACCACCTAGCTGCCCCTGTTGCTTTTCTTAAGGTGCTTGGATGCACCCAATACAGGAAAATCCACAGTTACCAAAGAGATGAACTAGGAAATAATTGTCTCCTTTATAAAATGACTCCCTTACAAAAGAAGACATGAGTCCCTTTAATAAAGGAGTGAGTTATTGACATTTTATTGGCATATAACTTGGGTCTGGGGAAAAGATGGGATCAAAGGACCTGAGTAGAAATTCCATCTCCCGTACTTTCTACCTGTATGACCTCAGGGCACTCACTAAAACTCCCACAGCCTCAGCTGTTGCATCTGTAAAATGAAGAGATCTGCCTAAATAAGCCTGAAATCCCTTCTAACTCTACATCTCTGATCAAGAGAGGCTATTTCATAAGTGAAGGTCAAATGGTTTAGTCATTGGAAGAACCCCACACCAATTGAAGTAAGATACATTTATCCCACCAACTTCAATCTTTTTATTTATTTTTTTAACTTTAATCTCTTTAGATTCAAACCAATGCTGTCCTGAACCAAGATAATTTTGGGTCCTGACTCTTTCATCCAATGTGTTAGCTATCCCTTCCAATTTGTGTTGTCTGCAAAGATGATGAACGTGCTATCTATCATACATATGTATGTATACATATAGATGTATAATATGGCATATTTTTATTTTTCAGTCATTTCAGT